GGGAGTTAGGTCCTGGGGAAGTTTCCTGGCACTTCAGTAGGAATGTATAGCTGTGCCCTTAGGAAGGAGGGAATGAGTAAGGATGCTTACCAAGCTAATTTGGACATATACTTGGACTCCTAATCTACCCTCCTTCTAATCCATCCTGTAATATCCTGCCAGATTTATCTTCTTAAAATAGCATTACTTTATTTCATTGTATCATTTCTGAACTTCTAATGCTTTCAAGAATATCTGGATTCCAGGCCTTCTGTTAGGTCTGTGAAGGGCAAAAAGGTGAATCAGATCATGCTCTTTCTACTATAGGAAATAGGAAGAAAATAAATGTCAATCAAAATACCAGCATCGTGTTGCTTCAAGTCCACTCAAAGGGCTGTGGCTTTCAAAGTCATCTATATTGTCCTCATTCTATAACTCCAATAATATTTCTTACAACATTCCATGTATCTTTTGCTCTAGCCAGGGAATTGTCTTTACTTTTCTTGGCATACCCCAGGTTTTATTCTTGCCTCTCTTCTTTTGCCCACGTTGCTCCTAGATCTTGGGATTATTATTCTTCATCCTCTTCACTTATTTAAATTACTTCTGACCTTCAAATTGCAGCTTCCCCAACTCTTCCATGAAGTATTCTGCAACTGTTCCAGATCCCAATGTTGTCTCATTCTTTGAAACCTCTTTTTGCACCTGTATTCTTATCCACATTATCTAACATGTAATTATCCTTTGTTTCCTGTTACTGGTTTTCTTTGGCTAAATTGTAACTTCTGTGAGGACAGGGGGCTAAGCTTCATTTTTTTTTTGAGTCTGAAATTGTGGATGACAAAATGGGGTCTCTACACAGGTATCATCATCATCCCTTTGAAGGATGTAAGAAATGCATGTTCTCGGGCCCCATCCCAGACATACTGAATCAGAAACTCTGGGTTTAAAGTTCAGTAATTTGTGTTTCAGCAGGCCCAACAGTGATTCTCATGTATACTCAGGTTTAAGAACCTCTGATCTCTAGACCATGTGGTGAGCAACCATGTGGTGAGCAACTCAGTAAATAATGACTAGAATAATCTACTTAGCCATTTCTATGGATTTTATGACTGTCCTTGTGATGAGTTAAACATAAATTTTCCTAGCTATAAAACTGATGTTGCATTCTTTAACTATCTTAAAGAATTTATATTTATATTAATATTAATGAATTAGAGTTTAAGAAACATGGAAAAATCAGCCCACTAGACCATGTGTTTTTCAAACTGTGGTCTGTAGATGGCTTCTATGGAAGTAACCTTGGGAATATTTAATAATACAGATTGTCAGGCTCTACCCAAGAGATTCTTATTTAATAAATCTGGAATTTGGTCCTGAAATTTCTATTTTTAAAGCACCCCAAGTGAATGTGGTATGCAAACCATTTGGAACTGCACTACATTCTCCAGTTCAACCCTTTATTCATTCATTCTTTCTGCAAATATTTATTGAGCTCCTACTTGGTCCAGACACTTGCTCGGTATAGTGTTCTTCTCCATCTGGTCGTCTTCCTAGACAGCCTCACTGTCCATGTTATAAGCCATCTAAGCCCATAGCCTCAGAGTGCTCAATTCTGAGGAATCTCACCTGCATTCTGCATTGGCCACCCATTTTTATGCCCATGTCCTGAACCTTGTCATTCATCGAAAACTGAACCTATGAGTCCCTGAAATCTTAAACTTCAAAACCTTAATCTTTGACCATAGGTGCCTTGTCCTCTAGGTTTTTACTTTCTTTACTACTCCTGTTTTCACTGAGATCTCCAAACCCATTAACTCTCTTTTTCCCTGGTCTTCTGTCTTTTTAGCATCATCTGATTTCTTTATCTACTCTGAACCCTATTGCCTGATGTCCATTCATTCCAGCTCCTTTGTTTCATTGTAATTGAATCCATACCACTTCTCTGCCCCTAGATCTAGGTTCCTGGGAATTCCTAGAGGGAAAATAGTCTCACAACTGTATAGATCTGTATCACTAGAAATTCCCAGTGGGCCTACTTAGTGTTTCCAGCCACACCACTCTACTTGATGCTTATAGACAACATGCTGACTCACAACCCTGAGCTTTGCACACAGTGTACCTACCCACTGATTGAAATGCTCTTATGTATCTCCCCATCTCCACTCTTCTTTATCTGGCTCACTCCACTAAGAATGCAGACCTCAAATTAGATGTCACCTCCTCTGGGAAGCTTAACCCAACCTCCTGCCCAGATTGGGTCAGGCTTCTTCCTGTTTGCCTCCTCCTAACCTCTGCTTACCTCTACTTGAATTATCTCAGTGTGATATAATTATCAGCCTGTATAACCTGCCTTCCCTTCTAAATTTTAACCTCCTTGAAGGCAGATCCCATGTCTTACTCATCTTTATGTCTTACTGTTTAGAATAGTGTTTATTTCATAAATGAGCAAATATATCAGTGAGTGAATGAGCATAGGATCTGTATATTTCAAATATGAGTATGCTGGCCACAATATATGACATTTTATATGAAAAGAAGAAAACTACCTCTAGGACACTGAACGGATCATCTCACCCCTACCTTCCCCCTTGGATATTCTCATTAGATATTGGGTAGGATATGTAACTTTGGATCTCAGTAATGAATGTTAGAAGGCTGAACCTAAAACCACGTCCTCTGCAACCTAAACCAGTGCAATGGGTTTTAAAATAGTAAGGCTGTGTTGCATTTTTCTTTGTTAATTAAAGTGAAATGTACATCATTAAATTTAAAGTAAAATCTATGGATAAAGATAACATAGTCATTTTAATTATGTGAAGTAAGATATATTGAAGTCACAGCATTAGAAAAGAAAGTGTAAGTCTCCAATTTCTTATCTAAAATTCTGAAATTCATAAAGTTCTGCCAACCTAAAGCCATTTTTCCTAACTCATTTGACAGCAAAACCTGTTCTGACCTGGCCTGAGGCACTTTCTAGTCATTATTTAATGCTTCGAGTGAATATTCATATATTTTGTTATAGAAATATTACTGTATTTGATCAAGGGATGCTGCCCGAAACCCCATGAGAGTGTCATGTAATATACAGTATATCATGTCATACTACCTTTCTAAAATCCAAAATGTTCTGCGTTCTGAAACACATCTAGCCCCAAGGGACTGAGAACTATGTAGTTGTTTCAGTTATTATTATTTTTTGAGACTACAGTTAACAGCACTGCAATGTAAAGAGGCCTTAGGTAAATCATATAAATATATTTTGGCCTTCACTGTTTCATTTATGTCTGGAGACTTTTTTATGATTAATTGAGAAAAAGATGTTTATTTGTTCCATATCTGTCTCACCTAGAGGAGCTCAGTGACAACCTAGTAATGTAGTTTTAGGGGAGAAAAGTGAGTATTACCTTCAGAGTCATCATGTCAAAGGCAGGTTTATTTATCTCTGGGCTCCACATGCTCAGAACCCATTGCTCTGTATAGCTAAGTAGTACTATCAGGGGCCCGGTATCCTCTTGTGTACCTGGCATTGAGCTGAGGATAGGAATATGTATCTGTCATTACCTCTTCATAATATTATATGCAAATCTTTCTCTTTCTTTGTTTTTTGGATTTCTGTCCTTAACTCTTTCAGCTTTGAGCATTCCTATTTCTTTTCCTTGGATAGTTTTTAGGTCTTTAGAAAGTGAAAGCTCTGTAAACATAAAAGTCAACTAACATTTCCTGAGCCCTCATTGGGTTAACAGGCTCTGTGGGGTATATAAAGTTACAAGGTAAAGTGCTAGCCTGAAGTTATTTCCAAGCTCTGAGGGGAAAAAAGAGACAGGCTGATATAGTGGGTGAGAGATTGCACTTTAGATTTAGGCAGGTCTGGATTTGAATCCTGGCTTCATTACTGACTGGTCTGGTGACCTCGGGCAAATTACCTTCCTTCTCAGTGCCTCAGTTTCTCTGCCTGAAAAATGGAAATGGTAGAAATAGTACTTTCCTCATCAACTTAACATGAAGATTAAATAATATCATGCACATGAAGTGCTTATACACAGGGCTTAGCATGTAGGAAGTCATCCTACTTGCTGTTACTAGTCATTATTCGCTAATGCTGCAGTGTTGTCTAATAGAAAGAGTCTGTAATTTATAATCTGACAGACCAGGATTCAAATACTAGTAGCATCTCCATTTACTGGCTATGTATGACCTTGGGTGAGTTATCTTACCTCCTTAAACCCCATTTTTATAATTTGCACCATATAGGGTTGTTGTGAGAATTAAATGAGATAAAGCATGTAAAGTACCTGGCCAAGTTCTTGGCCTGTGAGAGGCTCTCAAGTGCCTACCTCTGTCCACTATCCACAGAAATGCACGAAAGTACAAGATTGAATACCAAATTACAGCAATAGTGCAGGAAAGGGTATAGCTCAAGTGGTAGAGCGCACGTTGAGCACCCAGGAGGTCCCGGGTTCAATCCCTGCTGCCTCCTCCAAGTGGAAATCAATGAAGAAACCTAATTACCTCCTCCTCAGCAAACAAACAATACAAGCAAAACGTGTGCTTCCATTTGTTTCAAATGATAGCAATAGTGAATGTAAGTGCAAAATTGTAAGATTGTAAATGATCGTGTAGTGTAAACTATTACTATTTAGTTCTGAAGTTCATAGGAGGGAGGACTTCCTATAGGCTAGGAGTGACAGGGAAGGCTTTCTAGACCAATAATATGTAAGCTGTGTCTTGAAGGGTGGGTAACATTGATGTCAGCAGAGGGAAGTAGGGTGGCATTCTTGTACAGAATCCAGTGATCAAAATGACACTATACAGAGTAATAATTATGGTTATAGTGATAAATATCAGTGAGCCAAATGTAATAATTTCTATCAGAATTATTAAATATGGTGAATTAAACAATCAGGTGGGAATGTGTAAAGAGTTATGTGAGCAAATAGCCTTTTCTTTATAACCTGCCATTGTTATTGTTCTATCACTGTTGAGAAATAAGGTTTCACTTTGAACTTTTAATATTACAGCAGATGGGCCAATCCTTTACGAAGGAAAGTCAGCAGACTTTTAAAGGGTTTGAAGAAACAAAGAAGCAATCTAAACAGGGATGCTGAAATGTTAGGGGCAGGAATGGATGAGGAAGGATTAGATGATGAAAAGGAGGAGACCAAAGGTAATGACAATAGCATATAAAGTTGAAGTATTTAATATTTGACTCTTATTCTCACCATCTTGATTCAGTTGATGTTTATGTTTTTATCCCATAAATGTTTGGACCACAGGAGTATCAACTTCTGAAACAAATATTATCACTAGGGATATTTGGATGGGAGGAAGGTGGACAAGAGATGTACCAAGTTGTTTGGGTGCCATATAATTTGATATGCATAGTTCAGCCCTTCAGGTAAACAAAGAAATGGAGTCTGCCTGCTCCGACTCTGAAGCTCCATGATAGACACCCTTACTAAATAATAGCGGCCATGGTCCTCCATGATTGTTGACCGTATGACACACCCAGGGGAAGGAGCATAGCCTCGGGAGTCTAACAGGTCTTAGCTCAAATCCTGGATCCTAGCTGTGGTTTCAGCTACCTGCTCCCCAGACATACACAATGCAGTATTACAAGAGGTTCAGAGAGGCGATCCCAGAATCATACACCAGGGATTACCTGGGCCTCACTTGCACAGGCTTACAGATCCCCTAGCCTTGACCTGGGTCTCTTCCTCCCAAAGTAATTGTGAGGGGCCAAGTAAGAATAAAATGGTTTATGAGAAAAGAGGTATACTTCAAGGAGTAGAGTACTAGACTGGGAGTCAGGAGACTAAGGCTTAACCTTTTCAGCTCCCTGATACCATCAGCTGAGATTTTCTTTTTTTCTGTAGCTTAAATAATACAACATAGGTGAAAATTCTTTGAAAATTGCAGTTCATTACTCAAATTTAAGGTATGAATTCCTAGCTTCAGTTATAGAGAAGGAGAAGAGTAGAATAACAGACCATTAAACAGCATCAGGAGACTCTGGCTTTAAGTCCCAGTTCTGCTGTTATTTACAGTGGGAGCTTGGGCAAGTCCCTTAACTTTCCTGGGCTCAATTCATAAAGCTGCAAAATATAAATTTGGACTAGATGAATAGGAAAAGTGACCTATCTCAGAAGAAACAAAAGAAAATCCTTATGCAAGGTATTGTATATGTATGTGTAGTTGTTACATTATTTATGTAAGATAATATGTAAGATATATAATAATATTGCATGTATATTATTGTACATACCTGTATATTACTTTGTATAAGATTAATGTAATACATGCATGCACATATGTATGCACACACATACCTGTATGCACACACATATAATGTTATAATAGACTAACAAAACTTGATTTCTGTGGCCCATTCTCTGGGACATGGAAGTTAACTATGTTATTTAGAAATTGTCATTGTAATGGTATTTGCTCTAGTGTATTTTGCTTGTATGCCTCACCATAAGACGATACGTTGGCAAACTGAAAATAACTAAGTTAATCATAGCATTCAATGTATAGAGTTTGAGAACTTTGTTGCAGTCCTTTTATAGCAAAGTGTGATGTTGTATGCTAATTTTTTTCAAGTTGTTTAACTCTACTTCACTTTTCTCCTGTAGCATTATTTTCCCACTGAGAAGAACACAGATCTTTCAGAGGAGACTGTACCAGTCATCTAAACCTGATGGAGCATTTTAGAAGGATAAGGATTAGTTCTTATTTTTATGTTTACTTCCAGATATAAAATAAAGTTATAGTTCAGTTTTGGTGCATCAAACCAGAATCCGAATTCTTCTTATTAAAAATAGTACAGAATTTCTAAAACTATATGAAAAGCACTGCTGGCATTTCAGGTCCTAGGTGGTGATATGATTTTTGCAACTTGGGTTATATTATCAACATATACTTCTGTTGGTGTTAAATAAGGCAGAGATTTCATGTTGTTATTCACCTTCCAGCAAAGTGGCAGAAAAACCCAGTGATATTTCACTAAATATGACACTCTATTTTGAGGAAAAGAGGTAAAAATATTTTGTGTTAGAGTTATTTGTAGTTTATAATTTATAACATTTTTTCACCATAAAAGTAAGACACACTCATTATAGAAAATTTAGTTAAAAGATTATATAAAAGAAGAAAAAAATCAGCCGTAATCCATTGCTCAGAGCTGAACACTGTTATTACCTTGTTTATTTTTTTAAAGAAAACAGTTGTATTTTGTGACATAAAATTGATTTTTTAAAAAAAGGTATATTTTTAAGGGTCACTTTCCTCTTTGAAATATGTGGGGCTCAGGTTTACCTGGGCTCATTGCTCATTTGTTCAACAAACATTGATTTAGCCCCTGCTATGGGATATATACTGGGGATATAGCCATGAGGAAGGTAGACTTGGCATTTCCTTCATCCATCCAGCTGGGGAGGAAGCTAGGAAGAAGTAATCACAGGGCTGTGATAGGAGGAGGACCAAGTTCTATGGGAGAAGATGGTGGGGGCACTAGCCCAGACTTCAGGAAGAGACAAAATGAAAGGTAAGAAGGATCAATAGGTGTTTGCCATGCAATCACTGTGTGGTGGAAGGAGTGTTTCAGGTATGAAGGCCCAAGTGCATGGAGTATTTGGAGCACTACAAATAGTTCAGGATGGCAGCAACTTCGACTTAGATGTTAAATCAGAAGAACTTACAACCTAAGTTAAAGAGTCAGGTTTTATCCTGTGGACAGAAGGGAACCAGTGAAGGGTTTCAAGCAGATGAATGGTATCATTAGATCTATATCCTTAGAGGTCACTCTGACTGTTGTGTGGAGAACTGGGAGTGAGCATCACTGGGGTCAAGGGAACCAGTTATGAGGCTGTTGTATTAATGTGGATGAGAAAATATGGAATCCTGGGCTAGAATAGTGGCACTTGTAGATAAAAGTAGAAAGATTACAGAGCTGCTTAGCATGTAGCATCAATAGGACTTAGTGAGTAATGTGCATGTGGGAAGAAATGAGGGTGCTAAAAAGAGAGTATGAATTTCAGGTTTCTAAATGATAGACTAGCTGGAAAGATGGTGGAGCTATTCACTGAGCTGGGACAATGAGAAGAAGGGCAGGTTTGGCAGGGGAAGATGAGTCATTTTTGGATGGGCTGTTTTAAGTGCCTGTGGGCCATCCAGGTGGATATGACTAGTAGGCAGTTAGATATATGGGTCCAGAGCTCAGGAGAAGGGTCTGGCTTGATATAAAAGTTTAGAGTCATTGATATATAGATGGTAATTGAAATCACAGTAAATGATTGATTCCAATTAGAAAGAATAAGAAAAATGAGAAGGGCCTGGAATAGAATCCAGAGGAACACAAGCATTTAAGGGACAGTCAGAAGTAGTGAGCTGTCGGTGGAGACTGAGAAGCAGGAGGATAAGCAGGAGAGAGCAATATAATGAAATTCAAGAGGATGGCATGTTTAAGGAGGAATGAGTGATCAACAGTATCAAAATTCAGATTCATTTCCACTGGATTTGGTAACATGGAAGTCATTGGTGAATTTGGCAATCACAGTTTCAGTGAAGAGATAGGAGCAGAAATTAGATAACTTTGAGTTGCAGGATAACTGGGAAGTGAGAAAGTGAAAGCAGAGAGTAGACAACTTGTTGAAGACATTTGTCTGTGAAGGGAATCAGAAATAATGGTACAGTAATTGATTGGCAGTACAGAATGGGGAGAATAATTTTTTCAAGACAGGAGAATAGATGGAACACTGAATATAAAGGCTAAGGACGTAGGGAAGTTTCGGCTTGCCTTCTTGGTCCACTTTACCCGCTTCGTTTTTTCCCATAGCACTTATCACCTGTAAACATACTATATAGTTATTTATTATGCGTAGTGTTTATTATTTGCCTTTCCCTCCCAGAAGCTCTCTGAGGGCAGAGATTTTTATGTGTTTTGTCCAATGATGCATCCCAAGGGCCTTGCACAGTGTCTAGCACATAGTAAGTGCTCAACAAATAAAATACCTATTGAATGATTGGATTAGAAACAAAGATGTTTTGTAGTGTTCTTCACTTTTGCTATGATGAACAAACAAGCACTTCCAAGGAGAACTGAAATATTAGGAAAAAAGTCAAACTGTACAACAAATGATCACCAGAGTTCAGTAAAACAAGTGGTTGCTTTTAAAGCCATTCCCCCAAGAATCTGATACTGCTTATCTAAATTTTAAGAACTGCATTCAGGGAAAACTAAATGAAAAAGAACAACCGAAGAAAGTTCTCTGGGTAGAAATAAGTAATAAGACAACTCCATAAGGAAACAAAAACTTTATAAGATTGAGATGTTAGCAAAATCTGCTACATTCTATGAAGAATATAAGCATAATCTGAAACAAACAGTACTCTGAAAGCAATAGAGAGGAACATCTGCAACGGTTCCCTGTTTAAAGATTACAAGCTGGGTTGCAGGGTATACTGACAGAGATTACCACTAAGTGGGTAATGTAATGGGAAGGAATGTGAGCACAAAGTGACAGTCGAATAAAGATACAGGCTGGACCAGAGATGAAAATTTGAAGCAGTTGAGGGTTGTTATTTATTAAAGATGAAAAGCCAAAGTCACCTTCACAAGCGTAGGAAGGAAATAAGTTTGCTCAGAGTGCTGTCTCCAACACCAATGCCTAATGTACTACGAAGTTGTGTCTGATACAGATGATGAATCCCTGGAAGAGATAGATGGGTAGATCATAAGCGTGTCATTAACATGCAAACCTTAACAGTCACAGAGTCATTTCCCTCAAGCCATTATCATATCTGTTCCAAATGAAAAGATACTACCTAAGTGAGAAGTACCTCTGATGCAGAAACTGAACTTAAACTGATTAGGGTGACTGCTCTAAAACTAGAGGTGATGGACATTCTTCCAAATTCCGTGGGCATTGAGACTTTAAACCAAGAATCACCAAAAGGTCAGAAACAAAGATCCTTATACCTTAATCCCTTGCCAATGAGACATTGGTAGAGAATCTGGATAGATGTAAAGTTCAGTCACTTGGAAAATGAGGACAAGCTCTCTCTTTAATATCACCATCATGAACAATGGAAGCTCTCCATAAAATAAGAGCTTCTCTTTAGTGTAATAAAGGCACATTTTATTCATTACAGCATTTTCTGTATGTTTCTCGTCTACTGATGATCTAAATGATGCACAACTTCCCTTGGGGAGACTGGGAAACTGATAATACCTACTACTGTTTTGCCATGCTGAATTTAGAGCCTCAGACCAAGCTGCAATATGTGGGCCATCCTACTTAGCTGCTGCCTGCCCCAGATCTCAGAGGCTTGCCAAGAAAATGTACATGAGTTATAACTTCAGGGATGAAGATAGAGCAGAGGGAGGTGAAACTAAAATGAAAGTCTATTCAGGAATAGCAGAACTGTCTATAGAATGTGTGAGGCCTACTGTAAAATGAAAATGCAGGACTTTATGTTCATAATTATTAAGGATTTCAAGATGGTGACAGCAGAACATTAAACCAAGCACAAGGCCTTTCTAAGAGCTGGGCCCTATGTGACTACACAGGTTGCACGCCCGTGCATGCCTTGGAAAATAGTTGTCATAGTTGGCAAACCAAGTTATCGTATATGGATCCCTCCCTCATATTCACCTCTGTCACTGCCAAAAAGGTGATTGGAAAGTTGGTGGAACTCAATGTTCAACTTAACAACCAAAAATCTATCAAAGGCCTTTGGGCAGGGTCAGTATATGAAGGCAAATGTAGGAGATGGCCAGGGCCTACAAATGCCAGAGTGATTAGACTTTAGCTTCTAGTTGCACTCTTTACTTTCCCTTCATTGCTCCCCAAGTCAGACCCTAATTTTTTTGGTGAATATTATGAAATTTCAAGAACAGATAACTCCAATCTTATACAAATTGTCCCAGAAAGTAGAGTAACAGAAAAAGCTGCCTATGAGTTTTATGAAGCTAGTATGTAATACAGATACCACAGCCAGAAGAAGACAGTGCAAGGAAAGAATGCTAGAGGTCAGTTTAACTTAAGGACATGGATACAAAAATCCTAAAAGTGTGTGTGTGTGTGTCTGTGTACTGAATCCAACAATGTATTAAGTAGGCTTTGTTCCAGGAGTGCAGGGATGTTTCAGTGCTGGAATGCAGGGGAATATAATTACCTTAACAGGCTGAAGGATAAGAATAGGATTTTCTACAAAGATGCAGAAGAAAGCAATTGACAAATATCACTCATTTAAGATTTTTTAAAATCTTAGCAAACTAGGACTAGAAGGGAACTCCCCTAACCTTATAAAAGTAAACTAAACATACTAATGGAGAAAGGTTAGAAGCATTCCCTCTGAGGTCAAGAACAAGGCAATGATGCCTGATATCACAGCTGCTATTTAACAATACTAGAGGGTCTAGCCAAATAAATCATTTAAGAGAAACAAATGACTTGTAATGACTAAAAGGCAACCTCTGTTATTTGCGTATACAAATACTATCATTTACACAGAAAATCCAAGGAAGTCAACAAACAATTGGAACAATTGGAATTGGAGAGTCTTAAGAGCATTGGATCCAGTTCCTAGAGTCCGTATCAGGCCTGAAATGCCTGCAAATGGATTGTATGTCAGCTTCCTCTTACTTATCTCTCTGGGCAAGGATGGCCTCTGTCTTGGTTGTCTAGGACTGAGGGGTTTCCCTGGATGCGGGACTTTCCATGCTAAACCTGAGATAGTCACTCTAGTTCTGGTTCTGATTTCTTTCTTCCCTCATGACCCCTGGAAATTTACTTTTCTTTTAAGCTAGGCTATATACTTAAATTTATTTGGGTATTACAGTTTATCCAGCATTCCTAGATATTTTTATCATAAGATATGGAT